GTTTCTACATACAAGGTTTGAAGAAATGCAATACACTGTTTCTAAACAAAGGAAATATAACAGGAAATAGAGATAGAGGGAGACGTCAGGGCCTGCGGATGCCTACAGGTCTACCTTGTGTCTCCGAGTGGACTGAAGGAAGCCCTCCATCTACTGTTCGAAAGCTGCTCCAGGATCTGCACACAGTGTAGAGTGTAGTATCAGCACAACCGACCCCATGTGCTGGTAAGTGTTTGGCCTAACCCCGGCGAGGTAGTGACGAGGCTAGGACCAGACTCCAGATAAACTTATGCAGTTATATAACATATGACGGAAAGTAACAAGTAATAAGCAATTAAAGCCGGGAAATGGAAACATGTTTCGGGGGTAGCTGACAAAACAAAATAACAAGAAATAACAAGGAAGCTAACAATATAACTTCTAACACAGATAAAGAGAAGTAAAGACAACTTTCACTTTTAGTTTCCATCTTGTTGTAGGAGTGTAACCCGATCCCATTTCTCATATCTTATGGTAGGCGTACCAACCGCTCCCATTTCATCATATCTTGTGGTAGGCATACCACCCGCACCCATTTCATAATATCTTGTGGTAGGCATACCACCCGCTCCCCTTTTATCATATCTTGTGGTAGGCGTACCACCCGCTCCCATTTTATCATATCTTGTGGTAGGCATATCACCCGCTCCCATTTTATTATCTTGTGGTAGGCGTACCACCCGCTCCCATTTCATTATCTTGTGGTAGGCATACCACTCGCTCCCATTTCATTATCTTGTGGTAGGCATACCACCCGCTCCCTTTTATAGTTCATCACACAATCACAAGAAATCCCGCAAGGGAACGTAAGTGATATAATAACTTCCCGGCAAGGGAACAAAAGCAATATAAAAATTTCCCGGCAAGGGAACAAAAGCAATATAAAAATTTCCCGGCAAGGGAACAATAATATCTAAATAGTCATCCCGGCAAGGGAATCAATCTCACTTAGCTGGTACTCAGTTCAATTAATGGAAATGCTCAATCATAGAAGATCATTAATTAAAGCATACAAAGTGCCATTCAAGAACACAACAACTTTCAATTTAAGACCCACGGTCATGCTTGACACCAACATATAGATACTCGTCACCATGCCTATACGTCATACTCAACAAGAAGCAAGTAATAAGTATGACTCAACTCCTAATCCCTCAAGCTAGGGTTAGACCAAGCACTTACCTCAGAACTTTGAACACTCCTCAAGACTCAATTATAGCTTTACCCCTTGATTCCACCACCAATCCACTTGAATCTAGTCACAAGTTACTTAATTACATCAATAAGTGCTAAATGAATCAACCCCAATGCATGAAAATGAGTTTTCCCAAAGTTTTACCCAAAATGTCAAAATCACCCCTGGGCCCACGTGGTCGAAACCCGAGTTTCGGACAAAAATCCGATTACCCATTCCCCCACGAATCCAAATATATAATTTGTTTTGAAATGGGACCTCAAATTGAGGTCCAAATCCCCAATTTAGAAAAAACATAGGTTCTACCCAGAACACCAATTTCCCCCATGAAAATCTTTGATTTGAAGTTGAAATCATGTTAAAAGATGTTAAGGAGTGAAGAAAATGAGTTAGAAATCACTTACCAACGTTTTGGAGAATAAAGGTTGTTTGAAAAATTCCCTCTTATGTTTTTGGGGTTTTGAAAAGTGAAAAATAGCTGAAATTCCCGTTTATTTATACCCCCCTTAGACCTCCTATGCGGACCGCATCAAATGGCCCCCGGCCCGCACAGGTCTTCCTGAAGACCTGCAGTTCAGCACCTTGTGCGGACCGCACAAGGCGACTGCGGCCGCACAGCCTCCACCACGCTCCGCACAAAGGCGACCGTGGCCGCGCTGGCCCCTCCGCGGTCACACGCGATTTCTCGCGGACCAGACTAAAGGGTTCAGAGACCTGTAACTTCGTGAACCTGCTCATCTGACTTTCTAAGTCTAAGGCATCCCGGAACCTACTCGAAACTCACCCGAACCCTCGAAACTCACCCGAACCCTCGAAACTCCACCCCAAGTGTACACACACCCTCAAAAATATCCTACGGACATATTCGTGTAATCAAATTATCAAAAGAACATCACAAGCATCGAATTAAACCCCGAGATCAATGAAATTTCTTAAAACTCTTTTAAACATCAAATTTCTCAATTAAGGTCCGGATTGCGTCAAGCGACGTCCGTTTTTAACCAAATTTCACAAGAATGACTCAAGTCATATATAAGACCAGTACCGGGCGCCGAAACCAAAATACGGGCCCGATACCATTGCTTTCTAATCAGTTTTCATTTCAAATTTCCTTAAACAAATTTTTGAAAACAATTTCACTTAAAAAATTTATTTCTCAGGCTTGGGACCTCAGAATTCGATTCCGGGCATACGCCCAAGTCTCATATTTTCGGGTTCGTTTACCCAAATGTTGACCGAAGTCAAATTAGCTCATTCTATAATCAAAACTTATCGTTTTTCACAGATTATCATATTTAAGTTTTCCGGCTATGCGCCCGGACTGCACACGCAAATCGAGGTGACTCTAAATGAGGTTTTCAAGGCCTTGGAGACACAAAAATCAACTGAATACAAGTGATGACCCCTTGGGTCGTCACATGAGTATAAAAAATTTGAAAGTTAATCTCATCGATTTCAAATATTTTTTTTCAACTCAAATACATAGATTATAAGATAAGGATATCTTAGAATATTTTTTTAATTTACATTATGTGTCATTTAAAAAAAAACTATTACTAACAAACTGATATGATATTCGATTTTGAATTGGAATGCAATTTGAGTAATTTGCATTGAGGTTAAGCCAAGTATGGTGTCGAAAAATAAACTACTTGAAAATTTTAAGACAATATATGCAATGTGTATAACAATAATAATCAACTAATTTAACATTTAATGATTCAAAGAACAAAATTTGTGTATATATAGGGTATTAAAATTCAAAATCTGGGGCTAGAGATATCAATAAATTTAAAGCGGAGTCATACTGAAATAAATGCGGCCAAAGAATCATTTAAATTTTTAGATAGCTGATTAAAGTGAATTTTAAATTAAGGATAATATCTTCACTTGCATAATTATAAAGATAATCATTATTATTATTATATATAATAAAGTTTTAGAAATAGAAATTTCAAAATAGAAATATTTTTTGAAAAATAAAATCATACCAAAAAAGAGTTCAAGTCGTAGTATAAGAGTAACATCGTAATCAAAGAATCGTTTATATCGTGTCAACCTTTGTGCTTTGCCATAAATATGAGTTATTATTTCACTTTATGGCTATTTTTAGGTTCCAATGGCATCTATGAGAATAGTGCAAAAATAAAATTATCACTACGAGAATTGAGAAAATATTAGTCTTTTTTCATGTAGTGTTTCTTAATTAATATCTGACGATTATCTATAATTATTTAGAAGATTCAAATGTTAAGGTTATTTACATATAATTTAAATAACTCAGATATTTAACATGATTAATGTCAAATATCAAAATGGAGTAAAATAAATTCACTAGCTAAAGAATTTTTTATATTCTTAGATAGCCAATTAAAATGGATTTTGAATTAAGAATAATATATTCAATTACATTATTATAAACATAATTATTATTGAAAAATAATATTTTAGAAACTTAAATTTTAAGAAAGAAATATTTTTTAAGAGATATCAACACACCAAATATGAGTTCAAGTAGTCGTAAAAGAGTTAAGTCTTATCTAAAGAGTCATTCATTGTCTCAACATTTGATTGTTTTGCCATAAATATGAGTTAATATTATTTTGCTTCATGACTATTTTTAGGATCCAATGACATCGGCAAGAATAGTATCAAAAAAAGAAAAATAGAAGAAATGATTAATTTTTTTCATGTAGTTAATATCCAATGATTATCTATATTTACTGAGAAAATGTAAATTTTAAGATTATTTATATACAATCCAAATAACTCAAATATTTGACATGATTAGTGTCCGCGCGGGTACTTACTAGTTTCCAAAGAAAAGGAGGAAAAATTGTAAAAATTGCACGGGGCGTCCTATTTGGTCGCCCCCATTTAACCTATACCCATTTTTTTTAAAAACTTTTAACTTGTACCCACTTTTTAAATAACTTCAGCCCCCTTTCTGCTCCTCCTTCCCCTTTCTCCTCCTCCTTCTAACTTTTACCTTTTATGTAGTACGTATTTATTTTTGGTGCTCAGCACACATTGAAACAATTTATGTTTGCTTTAAATGTGCATTTGTATTCTGTAATATAATACCTTTGAAGTTGTTGTTCTACTCATAATAAGAATTTATGCTGAATACGCTTGTATATTGATAGTTCTTTATCTTTATTAGGTAGGTTTAGAAGGGAACTTGTTTAAAATAAAATTTGAATTCAAGAGTATTAATAATTCAGTAAGCAAGAAATAACTGGAGTTTAAAATTACAAAACGAAAGACAAAAAAGCAGAAGCTGAAGAAGAAAGAAATGAATTGGAACACACAAGCACTAGAATGAAAAGAGAACTAAATAACTTCAGCTCTACAGTTACAAAACAAAAATCAGCTCTAGAGCTGAAGTTATTTAGTTCTCTTTTCTTTCTAGTTGATCAACCGAGAAATACCAAAAACAGTAGCGATTGCCTCAGTCTTTAGCTCTAGAGCTGAAGTTTCCCAGTTACAACACAAAAACTTTAGCTCTAGAGCTGAAGCTTACAAACAAAAACTTTAGCTCTAGAGCTGAACTTTAGGTCCGGCTACTAGAATGCTGAAGTTTTGCGTGATTGCCTTTGCTACTTCAGCCCCGTATGCTGAAGTTATGCAAAAAAGTGGGTACGTTTGCAATTTTTTTTACAAAACGGGCATAAGTTAAAATGTGATACAAAAAGCGGGTATAGATGCCCGAAAAAATTCCACCAGATAAACAACACACAACGGTGTACGTGGCCGGTTGGATAAAAATAGAAGGCCTTACTGCAGCACGACGAGGCGGGGTCAAAAACCCTAGATATTTATCAACACGCACACCCACACAAAAACACACACAGTAATCTCTACCTTCTGTTCGCTAGATTCGTATCCCTTAGCAGTTTACTCCCGAGGTATTTTCAGTTATATTCTCTATGTTATTATGCAAATTTCGCATTCCTTTTCTCTTGTACACAAATCTTGTACTGTTAGGCTATTACATCTCTTATTGATATGAATGGATCTCCAAATGGATACTAGGATCTGACTCTAACTATTTAAGATTGAGGTGTAGTTATTGTAGTTCCATAAATCTTTGATTTTCAGATCTATGTTTCTTCGCGGATCTGTGCTCTTTGTTCTTTAATGTAGTTTGATAAGTGTATTATGTGTGTTTGTTTTAACACAATTAATAATTAAAGAAAAGAGAAATTTCTAGAATTGACAGTGCTTTTGAGAGTTCATGAATTGGTCACTTGTGTATAGGCTCAGACACTATGTAATATTTGCTTGCGCGTCTTTATGGATCCGTGAGGAATAGTGTTTAGTCTACCAGGAACTGTTGTCACATGCATCCAAGTTTAATGTTTTGTTGCTATCAGAATCTCTAGGAAATCCTGCTGATGTAGAATGTATTGAGCATGTTGTATCAGGGCAACATGCTGAGTATTTGAGGGAATATGGCATGAAACTCAATGAAAGTTGACTGAACGTATACTTTTCCGATAAGCAGCTTAATTGTATCTCCAAGCTTTTAATTTTTGTTTCTTTCACCTATTCTTGTTTCTTAGGTTGGGTTGGGACAAGGTTATGGGTACTTGTGCTGATGTGAGACTATTTTCTATCTGAATTGTTACAAGTTTTAGTAATTGGATTTACTCTTTATGGATTTATGACTTCTGTTGCAATTTTTCAATGATAAACAGTGTTTTGTCCATATTTTGTAATGGCTGGTCGACGGGATAGCTATGGGAAGCGGTCTCATTCTCAGTCAGACTATAATGAAAATGGGGGAAATAAAAGGAGAAGTACTAGAAACGATAAGGATCCTTTCTCTATTGGCCCGGATGATACAGTATACCGGTACTTGTGCCCAATAAAGAAGATTGGCAGTATCATAGGTAAAGGAGGGGAAATTGTTAAACAATTAAGGGTGGACACTAAATCAAAAATCAGAATTGGAGAGACAGTACCTGACTGTGATGAACGCGTTGTCACCATCTACAGCTCAAGTGAAGAAACAAATGAGTTTGATGGCACTGAAGATCGTGTTTGTCCATCTCAGGATGCCCTTTTCAGAGTATATGATAAAATTGTTAATGATGACACTATGGACGAGGACTCTGAGGAAGCACCACAGGTTACTGTTAAGCTTCTAGTACCTTCAGATCAGGTTGGATGTATTATCGGGAAAGGGGGACAGATAGTTCAGGACATTCGAAGTGAAACTGGTGCGCAGATTCGTATTTTGAAAGATAAGCATTTGCCTGCATGCGCATTGAGCTCAGATGAACTTGTGCAGGTAATGCGGGATCACCTTCCCATCTCTCCCCTTGTGTTGCCTCTGTACCTGCGAACTCGCAGTGTTATTTCAAATTTTTTTCTTGGTTAGTAAGTTTGATTAAGTGCTCATTCTTCATGCTTGAACTTGCTGGCTATCACATTTCAGCCTACTTACTTTGGGGATCTTCTGTTTACAACTTGGTTGACTGTCTGATTTATAAATATATAAAGGGATTAATCATACTGCACTTCTGTTTCGCTCCACCTCTTGAAATTTATTTATGACTGCCCAAGTTGCACTGTTACACAGACATATATTTGGATGGCTCGGTTTCTTTAGTTATAAATGTATGGCCAATTTTCTTAGTAGTCGTCTGTTGATCATGCTGGGACTCAATTTTCTATCCTACTGCTCTTACCATGGGAATTTAAAAATAAGTTTAGCTGAAATAATGTCACTGCTCATGTGGTTGTTGGTTACTTGGTTTTAGATATCTGGTGAAGTTGCTGTAGTGAGGAAGGCTCTCTATGAAATTGCAACTCGTCTTCACAATAATCCATCCCGTTCTCAACACATGCTAGCCTCCGATGCACCAAATGTCTACTCATCGAGCAGTTCACTTATAGCTCCTGCTGGTGGTGCTCCAATAGTGGGAATAGCTCCACTAGTGGGGCCGTATGGGGGTTACAAAGGGGAGAGTGGTGACTGGTCGAGGTCTTTCTACTCAGCTCCAAGGGATGAATCATCTTCAAAGGAATTTTCTCTTCGTTTAGTGTGTCCATCTGCAAATATCGGAGGTGTTATTGGCAAAGGTGGTGTCATAATAAACCAAATTAGACAAGAATCTGGTGCAGTGATCAAGGTTAATAGTTCTAATACTGAAGGCGACAATTGTGTGATTTCTATTTCCGCAAAAGAGGTAAATGTTTTCTCTTTAAATGGATGTCCATCAGAATATGCAACTTGAGGATCTTTGTCCACTTAGTAAAGATGTATTTTTATGCTTTGTCTAGTTTTTTGAGGACACATATTCTCCCACAATTGAAGCAGCATTGCGCTTGCAACCAAGGTGCCGTGAGGAAGTGGAACGGGATTCAGGTCTTATATCATACACCACAAAGTTGCTGGTTCCAGCATCTCGAATTGGCTGTCTTATTGGGAAAGGAGGATCCATAATTAATGAGATGAGGAAAATCACGAAAGCTAATATTCGTATTCTCTCGAAGGAAGACCTTCCGAAGGTTGCAGCTGAAGATGAGGAGATGGTACAGGTAATTATTCATTGTTAATGCTAATTGGGTATTTTGAATATGTAAGGATATCCCCCACTGATTAAAAGGAAAAAAGGTCAGTGATTTCCCCTCCCTCTTGTAAAACCAGCTACTGGAGTATGAATATACAATATGAATGAGGCGTCTTTGATCATCACAAAAAAAAAGAATGATGGGATTTTGATGTACATGTCGGACATCTTTGATAGCCATAGATTGCCTTTGATCCATTTATGTTCACGATTAGTTTTGGGGAAAGGGGTCTGGCATGAATGGAACTATTGTTTCAGAGGATGCGTCTTTTCCCCTGTTTGTTTTTCCCACTGCTGTGTTCTACCTGCTGTTCCACAAAATTAAACCCTCCAAAAGGGGAAAAAAGAGGCGGAAAGATCATGCCAATGTGAAAAGATAAGGATGCTGATGCAAACATTTTTTTTTTCTTCTAGTAGTTCTTTTCTTTCTTATTATTCCTGTCTATATTATTATACTTATTCTCCTCGTTTTCTGTAATTTATTTAGGAGCTTCTTTCTTTGTGCTTGTTATTTTGCTTTGATTAACTTACTCTAAGGACCATATTGCTTTTCATTTTTCTTAACTGAACCTAGTTATATACTTCCAACATTCATCAGATATCAGGAGATCTTGACGTGGCAAAGGATGCACTCGTACAAGTAACTTCACGTTTAAGGGCAAATCTTTTTGAAAAAGAGGGGCCCATGTCTGCCTTCGTGCCAGTTCTTCCCTACCTCCCCATGTCAACGGATTCAGATACATTGAAATATGAAAACAGAGATACTAGGAGACATGCCCGTGAACATTCCTACCCAACTGGGTATGGTGGTACTAGTGATCTTCCACATGCTGATGGTTTTGGAAGTTATGGTACTCTCCAGGTAAAGCTTTGTTTCATTGATTAGTACAAAGGAGTTTTTGGGAGTTTCAGTGTTCTCCAGAAGTTCTGTCATTTGTTTCTTTCAGCTAGCTTTCTACTACTTTTGCGGTGCAGCTTTTGTTATTAATTTCTAATTCCATTTGCAGAGTAGTAGTAGTATAGGGTATGGGGCATATGAAGGATATTCTCCTGCTTATCCAAAAGAAGGATATTCCCCTGCTTATCCAAAAGAAGGATATGGGCGTTCCAGTGGATCTGGGTGAGTTCTTCTTGCCTTCCCTTCGCCAGTTTTGAGTAGGTTTGGTTTCCTATGTAATGGTGATACTGTTATCATGCTGCCTCTAGAATTTCTTGAAAGAAAAACAAGCATGAGATTGTAGTTTCATTATTTCTTGAATTGTATGCTTTTCAAGAAGCTAAATGTTTTGACCATATATTTGGATCATGCATGTTTACGTCTGACCTAATGTCATTGTGGTTAGAACTTGCGGTTGGTGAGTTTGTTCTGCCCTTTGTTGCAGAGGATTTCTTATTTAGCTCGTCTACTTTCAACTGCTCTAAAGAATTCAAAGTTGCTTCTCCAATCCTTATTCATTATGTTAAGTTTATGTTACCAGGTCATCAAGGCAAAACTCTGCCTCCCGGAGAAAAAGTTATGGTTATTAGAGCTTGTAACAGGACCACAGGTAGCCCATGAATTTTGGCTCTATTGCATTGAATTTTTAATTTGAGTAGCTGGTTTTATATACCTAGCCCGGCTCATACAAAAGTAATACACAGTTTGGTATGATGACCTAACCTATTTTCCAATTATGAAACTAATGATATTCTTTTCCCTTTGTTTCCTTTCCCTCGCTACAAACAGCCGAGATATCTGAAGCCTGAAGCCAGCCTACTGTCACCTTTGATGAAGCCTCATGCCTAAACCAGATGACCAGATGAATGCGGATATCGAAATCCATTGCCTACCTTGATGTTTTCCTTAGGAGGACCATGTCCGAAGATCTTACCTACTATCAAAATTTGCCAAGACCTGACACCATATATTTCCGAGATCAAACTCTTGTGCTTCCAAGAACCTGTGTAGCCTGCGGCCTCATCCTTTATTCCCATTTGTAGTTGTACTATAGATGAATTTAACTGTCAAATCTCGGCCATGTGTCCTGTTGTCTTGTTTTCAGTTTATTGTTATTTGTATGAATCTACTGTTAGTTGGATTTTCCTATTTGATGCTCTAGATGCTAGACCTGGTGGAGATTTCTAAGTGTTCTCGTTTTGATTATGATGCAATGTTGGGACATGTGCCCTTTCACAATATCTTCAAAAGTATTGCTACGTTACTAGAAAGCCTACATGTTTCTTCATTATATGTGATAATATTCAATCATGATTTCCTATGTGTCCTTGTCAATTTATTGGCAAAAAATATCTTGCTAAAAGTAGATTGCTCTTCTGAAGAGGATGTCGTGGCTATGGAATGTGCATACAGCTTAAGCTACATGGGTGCCTGCAGTTCTCTGTAGACACTGGATCTTCATTGCTGTGATTAGTAGTGCTATATGTATCAGTAATGCTAAAACACAGTGATATTCACTGCCAATCAATGTGGAATCTGATAGCTTTTGGGAGTACTGGTTGGAATTAACTGAAGCAGGTATATATCTGATGGTAAGTCTCAATATTCTTTTTTATGCATGCTTACTTTTGTTATATGATTTATGTGCAAGTGCTGATATTATTGCAATGAATCAGCATGTTTGGTGGAATTTACTCATGTATGCAAAAGTAGGTACTCATATTTTCTCTGCATTTGTTTGACGCTAATGTTGTTTCAAAAGTGTCTGCTCCCATCTGAAGTTAAACCATCTCTTCTTTGTTCTCTTTCATACTGTTTTTGGATACAGTTAGTATGCTTCATTTGCTGATGCCTTTATTATTGCTCCTATCATGCAATGCTCCATTGTTTGTCCTTTCTTCTTGAGAGTGGTGGGGTTTGAGTTGGAGGGTTGGCTATGTCTTGAAGAAGGGTGGTTGAATGATATGGGAGGATACTTGTTTACAAAGACAATCAATCATGGAGTGTGAGAAGTCGATCTTGAGTTGAGTTGATCTCATACAAGTAGTTGCACCAAGTTGAGGCTTTAGTAGGAGATTGATTTCCTACAACTATTCATGCGAAGTTAGAAGTTGCTCTCCTATTGCATAGAATATAAAAGTTCTATATAATTTGTATGTGTTATCTTTCTTCCCCCCCCCCCCCCCCCCCCC